TCAACCGGAGAATATAGGTTGACTGATACAGAGAACAATCGATACGATACTTTCATATTTCGAAAATGGTGAGCGTAGTGCAGGATAATACTCAGGAGTCGAAATTTATGAATCATGCACGAAAAGTGGATGGACATTTGGCTACCATCTCGCTCGATAAAACAGTAGAAAAAATCCCTCCGTGTGAGTACGCGCCCCTTGACCTTTCTGAACTTTTTCTTTGCCTTCAGTAAATGCGAGCAATAAAAAAAATCAAAGCAACTATAAATTGATTCCTTCCTATGACTTTGAATTCCCATGGTTCTTTTCTTAGAATCCATTTTTTTTGCTTGTTTGCGCAAATGAAATGAGAGTGCTCTTAATCTCGACTTCATACCTCAAATTAAGCCATCAAAAAGAGTGGACGTTTCAAGGACTTGTCTGAATTCAGAAAAGTTTGCACTATACTCTACGGAAAAAGAAAAACTTTTTCTGTTAGCGAATTTTTCGATTAAATATCATTCGCCTGAAATAAATAACGCAAAGTGGTAGATAATTAATTGTTTCAAAAAAGAAAAGGAATTTTGAATTTCATCCATACTCGGTAAATGATGATTCTGTGAACTGCTCTACTTATTCACAGGGTGAATAATCAAGCTTAAGTGACAAGGCTTACTAAGTTTGAACTAAGTGAAAATAGCTATGTATAAGATGATCGATGGAAAAATTACCTCATTAAATTATCCCGAGTAAAACCATCGAAGGCAGGAATTAATTCGAAACACAATAATAGGTAACACTATAAAAAGCAATATCAACCGCAGTGCCGGGATGTGTCTGCTGATGGAAAGACTGCTTAATGAAGCAGGATTGAACCGCGTAGAAAATCAAAGCAGCGGTATTTTACTGGGGTGGGAGAGTGGCGGTAGTGGATCCCGTAAGCTCGGAAGCCATTAATTCCTTCGCCGCTTTTTCGCATGTTTTCCACTTTTGTCTTCAACAAAGTACACATTGTGAATACCTTATTGTTATATCAAAATCTACGGTAACCTATATGTAATGCAAAGGTTTTTGCTAATCAGAAGCTGAAAAAAAAAAACTAGGCAACCCCAAAATTATTTCTTTTCTTGCACTTAACAATCCCATTCCTTTTTCAATTATATGGCAAAAATAAACAAATAAAGCGCAAAAGTTTCCTCCATACTCCTTTAAATGGTCCCTCTTGCAAATCTAAGTATGACAGGGATGGGATTCTTCGATATAAAATTTCACATTTGACTACCTTCGACATTTCAGCGGAAGGGTTTGTAAAAGTTTAGCGAAAAACTCCAGCGTTTGTACGATTTCTGTAGTATCATTTTACATTTACTTTTAAGAATGTATGAAAGGTTAGCGGAGTTGTTTATTACCAAAAGATTAGCTTAGTTTTCCAATAGTTTTGCCAAGTGGAAAAATAAATATCTTATGCATATCACATTTGTTTCTTTTGTCTCCTACAATAAATAACTTTAACATCTTTGATAACAATTTTGACAGTATTGGGCAGAAGGTTGTTAGTTGTAAAGTTAGCAGCAATTTTTCAAATCCTTCATGTAATTTTCCTTCTATCAACAATACATCCTGTAGATTGTTTCCATTATCATCCTTACGCTTAGCAGGTTTACGTAAGTCAAAATCATTGTATAAGAAAGTTTCTCCAATTTATTAAAGCTCTCAAAAGGGCCTCAATAGGCAAAAGAAAATCAAGCCTATCATGATCATTTCGAGATTGGTTTAAAGTGATACTGTAGAAATGTCATTGAAATGCCATTAATAGCGCCTCTTCTCCCTTTATTTAATTCGAAAAAGAAAAGTAAAAGTCACACTCAAAGAAAACATTTTCTAGCACTTCGATACGCTTTCTTTTGTCATGCAAATTGTTTCATTCCTGTAGCATAACTGCACTTTCTAAATAAAGGGAAAAATGCAAATTATTGAAAAAAGTGAAAGGGCGAATAATGATTGAAGCTTCGAATAGAGTGGACCATTTTCCCATCTTTTAAGAAGAATCATTCCATATGATGGAGTTCGTGAGAGGATGGCCCCGTGACCTTTCGAAATGCTTAAAATTGCTGACCTTTTAATAGGGATATACTTATGTTTTCATCTGTCACCAACTCGACCTATTCATTTGTGATCATTAAACATGCATACAGTTGACATGATCTGAACACAAACGAGGTGATATCCTCACTAAAGAAAATAGGATGAAAGAGGAGAAAAATCCATCAATTTACGATCCATTATTTAGGCATAATAATAATTTAAAATTTAAACCATTTAGACTCAAATCGCAAATTAGGAATAAAATGAAATTATATGTAAAATAAATGCATAAATTGTGGAAAAGATTTAGAAAAAAAGCTAGCAAAATAAATTTACACAAATATGGCTTGCTTTGTTCTATGAAGCGGAAAAGACAACAGCGAAATGAGAGAGTATTGCAATAAAGAAAGAGATTTAGACTTCGTTAAAGGAAATGTATTATCAATGCTTTGTAGTGATATGAAACGTATAATCTAGCAGACAGTTAAACAATGATTTGATCAAATCAGTGAAAAAGACATCTGCAATTTAACGAAAAAAAAAGCATACCGTCATAAGGAATGGAATTTATGCTTGATTTTAAAAGCTGAATATAGTCTTGATGATCGATGAAATGAATTCTGTAATGATCACATTATATTATCAAAATGGCATATGAATTCTTTCAGGCATCTTCTCAATTCCGTTACCCTTCAACTGATGTCTCATACCGGAAATGATTGTTTTTCGTGATACATCGATGATATTTTTTTGAATAATCAAGCCATAGCATCGATTAATTTTAATGAATTTCGGTTCTGCTTTGGTAAGGAACACATTCTGATGCGAATGCATTCAATTATTTTGCACTGTTTGTCTGTCTATGGCTATGAGATTTGAAGAATATTCGGCATGCTTTGATAGTATCATTCATAATTAACTTGCAAAAAATTTGCATTTCAGTTACATCCCATTTTTCTTCCAATCTTTTGTTTACAATCAAATGAAAGCTTTATTTCTGAAAAAAATCAGAACTCATCTGGTAGTGGTCAGATAATTTTGGTATGGAATTTTTTGCAAAAGCCTTTTAAATAGTTTGCCAAGTTAAATTAAACGAATTGTTGTTGTCTTTGCACCTAACATTATATCTAAAGTTTCTGACTATATCTATTATTCTAAAAACGAAAGAAAAATTCATATTTTCATTGAAATTATAACCCAATGAAAATAGCTTTAAAAAATCCATTTCTCTTTGTAATAAATTTCAATTTTGACCTTTGATGACCTCTTGTTGCTCTGCAGATATATCTATCAATATGCAACCTTTTTTGCTGAATACTTACTATTCTCAATAGTTCTTCAAAAAATTCCGGTAAAAAAAGATTCAGCGAATGCATTTTATGGAATTTTGCAATCTTCGCGCAGTAGAAATTACACTTAGTTGCCGTTGAAATGCAAAAAGGTAATAACAAATGAAAGCTAGCTTACGGATCAAATGAATATCAGATTTCGACTGGTATCATCTGCTATATCACGGAGAAAGAGTTGACAACGAGACTTTGCTAAAATCGTTGGTAATGTGTTATCTTCCTGCAAGTGTCAAACAATCTAGTGTATTCATGTTGTTAATAATATAAATTTACGGAAATTTGTCGCACCATATATTTCCCATCCATATTATTGCTGTTAAATATCCTCTCATAAGCCATGTTTCGGTAATGAAAGTTAAAACTTCTTAAGGTATTCATCCATTTAGTAAAAAACAAAATGTCCCAAGTTTAGCTATACAACCAACAAGAAATCCAATGTGTAGATTTTAGCTGCGCAATAACACATGGATAATACTTCCATTTTTGCACAGTCAGAACAAATATTCTTTTCATTCTCAGTTAAATTGAATTAAGCGAAAGTGGGATAATCAAAACTGCCACAATTTCTCCAAAAAAGAATATAAGAGAAATTTCTGCTATTAATTATTGATGAATAAAGAATAGGATAGAAATTCCTCAAAAAAAAGGATCAACATTATTTTCGGCTAAATAACAAAGATACTAGTCTTTACGGAAAGAGGTTGAAGGAATTTCCTGATATTAACTAATTGGATGATTTTTATTACAGGCATAGAATTAAAAAAGAAATACTGAAAAGATAAGAATCAGGTTTGATTTATATGCACCAAATATATAAGGATTGGCTTAGAAAAACAAGGAATAATTTTGGAATTAAAAAGCTGAATCTAATTTACTGATGTTTTTTCCCTTTTCGGAATTTCAAAGAAAAAAAGAAGGAAAGAATGAATGTGTACCTAAGCTATACAAGAAGGCTCACTCTTTCCTTCGTTCATTTACAGATTCATTCAGGTCAAAATTTTATGTCTGAGCGACGTTTTACAACTTGGAACGATTCACCTTCAAAGAAGCAGATATTTTGCATAAAAAAAAAAAAAAAAATATTACGCATAAAAGTGAGATAAGCTATAAAAAAGGCAAGTATTTGCTTACAAAGATGCCAAATTTGAAGTTTCAAAACATGTAAAACTCAAACATATGACGTGCAGATTTTTGTAAGTATAAAAGAACTATGAAGCAACGTTTGTAAGAACAAAAATGAAAAATGAATTATTTGAGGCAGTTACTTTTCAATTAACAGTTTCAAATCGTAACGATGCAAATCTTTGTTTTATCCGTACCGAATCACTTGCAAATTTGTCAGAGATTTGTGACGTGATGACATATTATTATTGAATATAATGAAATTGGTTTTGTTATGCTGTTACATATTTGCAAAGTAAAATCTACTTGAGGTAAGAAATTCAGAAATTTCACTTTTGCAACTGAGTTCTGTCATCAAAAAATAATAATTCTTTGAACTACTGTTTTTTAAAAATTGCTGCTATGATTGAGCAATCTCGGTCCTCTTCGGCATTTTCAACTTAAGAATATATCATAAAAAAATTCGCAATAGATGTTCCTTTCCATGAAATATCCTTCTGAATTGCGTGTGACAAACAATTCACCGCTATGACTCTTAACGGATTTGATGCCTCATATTAATGTGACAACTGTCAATGTCTAGCCAATTGTTTGCTCTTTCTTTCAAGCTTAATCTTTTCAGTAGTATATATTTTCGATATGACTCATTCAGTTTGTACAATTTTGAAAAAGCGGTAAAATATTTTCTTGACGACGTGAAAACTATATAGATTAACTGATTTGACGTTTTCACATGAAACTAAAACCCTGGCATCTTCATATTTTAAATCATCCTTTCCGAATGCTTGATCAGGAATTCTTGAATTCATTGGTCGCCTTGATTCATTACTTCTCAATTATGCTATTATTTACCATTTATTACTATTATTATTATTATTATTATTATTATTATTATTTATTTATTATTATTATTATTATTATTATTATTATTATTATTATTA